TCTGTGTTCATCAAATTGTTAAAGGAACGGGATTTTATAAATTTTGGGGGAATTTTAACTTTTTTCGTTAAAATCACTCGTTAAATAGGTTAACGAGTGATCATTAATTCCTAGACTTGTCACTCCTGCTGTAGAAATATCAAAGTTAGTAACAAATATTAGATCAATTATAGTTTTACTTGTATTAGTTATTCTAGTAAATTCTTTAATTAGTTGATTTAAATTACTGTTTTTAGCTAGCTTATTAATTTTACTTGCATTTTTCTTTATATTAATATCTACATTAAAATCTCCTACAAGTACTACATCATTATATAAGGAGGTGCACTGTTGAAACATAGTATGAAGTTCATTTAAATATTCTGCTGTTGCACTAGGTGGTCTATAAATATTCCCTAAAAGTAATGGTTTGGAATATGGTAAGTTTATCTCAATCCAGAGACCTTCAATATTTTGGACTCTAAAGCTACTGATTTCTTTAAATTGGATACCATTTTTTATCAAATATAGTACCCCACCTCCTGCTTGTGAATTTTGTCTGTCAAGTCGACATATTTCATATCCATTTACCAATATTTATTTGCTTTTTACTGTTTGTTCATGGACAGTGTGATGGTCATCTTGTTCATGGAAAGCTTCATTCTGATTAATTTCATTTTTTGTAATCAATTCATTTGATTCATTTCCTTCATTATTTAGAACCTCAAAAGTGTTTGATAATTCGAATGTAGGTAAGAATGGCCCCAGAAAAAATGGCCCCAGAAAAAATGGCCCCGGAAAAAATGGCCCCAGAAAAAATGGCCCCATATGACAGGTAGGTAAAAATGGCCCCAATGAAAAATTTGGTAATAGAAATGATACATATTTTTTTTAATCTTCAAATATTTAAATACTGTATAAGCAAGAATTGAATCAAGAAATAAAAAATGGCCCTCAATTATAAAATTAAAGAAAAAAAAAAAAAATAAACAAATGTTGTAAAATTCCTTGTAGCAAAAATTTAATTAATAAATCAACATAAAGAATATGCATATTTGAGAACTAAAATAAATTAGTTTTTAGCTCCTATGAGTAGCTCTGGGAGTAGGTCTAAGTACTTTTAAAAATTATTAATATTATTAGATATTATTACTATATTTGCGGCAAATTATTAATATTATTATTATTAATGGCTCTGATGGGAGGCTCTAAAACATTGATTCGGCACCAGTTTTGAACGACGAACTTGCAA